CACAGACACTGAGAGATTTTGCCAATTTCTGATTATCTCAAACAGACGTACCATATTTTTTTGCTCTGATAATCTTCTGGGTTTTTCCAAAGTCGTCATCTCTGATATGAGAATCTAAGATTCAGAGCCAGAAAACCCAGGCTATAAGATCGTTATCGATTTACTTCACAACGTGTGAAGCTGCTGAAAAGATAACTTACAATAGTTTACAGAGATTTAATGGGATTTCGTCATTACAGTACGACCTGCTGTTCATCGTACACAGGGTTATCATCCATTTTTCGGGGTGAATACGGGTTTATCCGCAATATTTATCTTCATTATACCATCACCGCTTTTAATCGGGCTGTATTCTTTGTCTCCTCGTCTGTTGAATGACCGAAAGATCAGCCATTGTGCATGTCAAATAAATAACTAAATTACTGAAAAATGTAGTAGTGTATTTAATCGTAAGGAGACTTGTAGGACAACAATTAAAAAAAAACACGCAGATCGTTCGGAGATCAAATTTGCAAATGAAAGATGATATTAATAATTTTACAAAGTCCTTGTAAGTCGTTGTTATATTGATGGTCGCGTTTCGGGACACTTGAATAAAACTTGTGGTTAATTGTAGAACGTCACGTTACGGACATGATAAAACATTTTCATTGGCTATTATTGCCAGTTGTAATGGGCTGCCCTTTCAACACACGTTAATGCGGAAAAATGGTAATTACTGATAATCAACCAGTCCTTGATTTCATTAATTATTATTGATGTTATTCATCATTCAAAAAGACATTTACTTATATCTACTTAATTATAACGTGTCATTGTAATTAATACAGTATACAGTATGTAGCCAGTATGTAAGACCGAAAAATCTGTGTTTTAGATGGAGTCGGTGATACACTTAATGAGCACAATTTCAGACATGACGTCACACTCCGAGAAAAAAATAACTCCCGTTTTGTAGATTAATCATTCGGTTGTCCTTTGAAAAAAAATGAACGGTTAAATATATTTAATCTTTACTGATTTCCAAATATCAAATGCAGAACTGTTTTGAGCGGATGATTAAATTCAGGCTAAGGGTTCAACATAACTCAGACTAAGGGTTGTTCAGTATAACTCAGGCTAAGGGTTATTCAATTTAAGTCGGGCTAAGGGCTATCAAATTTAACTCGGGCTAAGGGTTATTCAATGTAACTGTGGCTAAGGGTTATTAAATATAACTTGGGCTAAGGGTTATTCAATGTAACTGTGGCTAAGGGTTATTCAAACTAACTGGCCAAGGGCTATCAAATTTAACTCGGGCTAAGGGTTATTCAATGTATTTGTGGCTAAGGGTTATTCAAACTAACTGGCTAAGGGTTATTCAATTTAACTCGGGCTAAGGGTTATTCAAACTAACTGTGGCTAAGGGTTATTCAATTTAACTCGGGCTCAAGGTTATTCAATTTAACACAGTCTAAGGGTAATTTAATACAACTCGGGCTAAGGGTTATTCCATATAACTCGGACTAAGGGTTATTCAATACAACTCGGGTTATGGGTTATTCCATATAAATCTACATATCGGGTAACAGTTTCGGCACTACAGGGCGTGTGCACTTGCGCTGTTTCCGATTTAGAAGACGTATGAAGACAAATAATGTACGTGCTATTTGTCTAAGTAGGTGATATGCGTGTAGAACAAGACAAGCCTGATCGCGAGACAAACCGCAGACTTTACGGAATATTTGTGGTTTAAAACATTTTATACTCAGCACTGAATAATTTCGCACCCTATCGCCTTCACATCAAGTGTTTACCGCAGCTGATGTTTATGTCAATCCCGTTTTCTACTTTGTTAGCTGTGAATACACCCGAAATATCATTGTTATTGAAATAAATCATATTTCGAATATCGACTTTGACCGGATTGAAAGGCGCGACAGCGTGAAATTCACAGCATGAACAAACACTATTACTAACGGCCGTGGTGACATGTGTTTGAGTATCAAGTCTTCTTTTAGAAGTGCAATACGACCAGGTGGTTGACGTAGTTGTCCACGGTTGTGATTGGACAGCTATTTGATTACCCTGACGACGGCTGTGGAAGCTGAGGGTAGCGGCCATTATACTATCGACGTGGCGGGCTTTAGTCATACTTACTTTTTCCAGTCATGACTCACGTGCGTTGCATGTGATCTGATATGCAGGGTTTGGATTGTGTATATTTACAGAAAATCCTATCTGTAGCTAAACCAGTTACATATTCCTGATTTTTTTCTCTTCTGCATGCAATTTAAATGAAAAGTGTTTCTGTAGTGTTAAACGGATACTGAGAAACGTAAACATCTGTAGTGACTCCTTAGCAGAGTAATTTGGTAATACTATATCTCAGAGGTCGGAATTGTCGCACGTGTTCTGAAGTCAAAAGCAATGAGTGACAGAGTTTTGACACTGATGAATCAGTCAATGCTAGATTTTCTACTAAAGGGTGGGGTTTGGTTTTTCCAGTAAAGGAGGAGGAATCTTTTGAGATAAGCAATTAAAATTGATTAATTATCATTGATGTAGTAAGGACAAGGACATCGTGATTACAATGTCAGATATTTTTAATAAAACGATCGTTTTACAACCACGTTTTGAGAAGTTGTGATAGTCATACAAACGAAATACCAAAAAATACTTGATGTTAAGTTAGATGAGGATCTAACTCAGGCACAGTATTAGTAATAGACACATAGTCGACATACGTCATAAGCTAGTCAGTAATGGTTAGAGTTGCGTCCCTTGTTGTTTTCCGGTTCCTCTTTCGCGTGTATCAGAAGTACCTTACTAAGCAAATACTCTGCCTAAAATAGCATAACATATTACTATAAGAAAAACTTTTCTAGTATATCTAGTTATAAGCCTAAACACATTGCAAAAAGGGATGGTGGGGTAGGCATATTTGACAATTTTTGTTACAACGGATGCATGGGATGTAGTGCTGCTGTGCAGAGATGATGGCAATTCAGTGTACATCTACCATAAAGTCTCCCGAGAACGCTCCTTTGTATCCGCCAATACAGTCTTTATATCATACGCGGACATAAAATCTCAAACACACCAAACGAACATTCCGACCAGAATTTTAATCTGCTGTCACGTCTCGGAAATTTGAAAATACAGTGATATCATGGTGATAGCTGACAATGGTATATACAAAACAATTTAACAATTTGCTGTGAATGACATGGATAGTTAACAATCAGACTAAAGTACTTCAAATTTTTCCCAATAGAGGTCATTCTTATCCCACAGAGTCACTTCCTTCGGTTTCACTCCATCGGACGGTAAAAGATAAGCTGGATAGAGAGTTACTTCCCTTCGTTCCACTCTATCAGACGGTAGAAGATAAGCTGTATAGAGAGTTACTTCCTTTCGTTTCACTCTATCAGACGGTAAAACGATAAGCTGTATAGAGAGTTACTTCCCCTTCGTTTCACTCTTTCAGACGGTATATGATAAGTTAGATGCAGGCCGATAACGTATAGAGGCCTTACTAAGCGTAGACCGTAGTGAGTGAAGTTAAGGGACTAGTTGACATTAAATATTTTCATTAATGACGTCAGCTCGTGAACTAGAATTACAATGATAATGAAATGACAAAAGAAGTTGTCTAATGGTGATTTCAAAATCAGCATAGGAGGGTCTGTTTTAGGCCACGATTAAGCAATTTTCTTAATTCAGTAGTTGGAGGGGGGACGAAGATGTTAATTATAATGTTAGCTAGTTTCCTTTAGTGCCGTAATTAGGTTTTGTAATACATATTACGAGTTCGTCCCTGAGAAAGTGTCTTCAATTAAGTTTATGAGAGATACATGTGTTCACACACAGGGACTTGACAAGTCTTTACCCGCAGACATTACGCGTACGACTGAGAAGCCTATTCTGATCCACGGTACTAAGTTATTCCACGTCTGTTTGATGGCAAACCTGTATGTGTCTTTTTTTTTCTGTGGACTTTTTTCTTCTGGTGTAGAGTATCTTTTTGTTGCGATGTCGATGTGTGGTTTATCAAAATTGATCAGTAGATGTGTTTCCTCAGAACTCAATTTTACGAGCCAAAGATTGTCAACTAGATTTTATATCAAGGACATTCTTTTTACTTGTGGTCCTGTACAGATAAATGATACTTAAATTCTAGTGTTATTGACACCGGCTACTTAACATTCCGCTGTAATAAGCAGATGTCAGTTTTAAAATGTTGATTGAAATATTTCCACATTAGTTTCTGTCAAATCAGCAGATTACACACCACAGTGGAGTGGAACACTCTATTTGATATTTTAATGCGGAAACGGAACGACTGGGGCATACTGTTTCACTGAATCGAGTGACATATATTTCATAACGTTTGAAAATGTGCCAAGACTGTTTAACGAGTAGTGTCTGGTGTGTTCTGTCAAACGAGGACCCCAGAGACCAGAACGCATGTACGCATGCACATGTAAAAACACGAATGCGAGGAGACTGGTGTCACATCAATGCAAAATAGAAGAATAGAAAATGTATTTCTAAGGGACAATTTAATACATGTATAGTCTATGTTTTTATTGATTTCTCTCCGTGTGTATCAATTAATTGGAGATAAAGCCTCTACTTCCATAAATGTAAATACCACTTTATCATTATGACGTCATCATGTAACATTGTGATGTCACATTTTTTCAGTCTTTAATTTATTCTAGTGATTCGCCAAAAATAATATTGATAGTCTAACACAACACAACACTTGATCAATCACATCCCTTACTTTTGTTATATTCGCCACTCATTAAATGATTCTTTCAATATGGAGTTATTTCACTAATATGCATTTCAGAATCTGTTTCACACGAATACTAAATTTCCACAAATCTCGTGTCATCTCTCTATTATCACGAGGCAATATTTGTTCATCGTTTTCATTCTTGATGAATTCGTTAAGGTCTGGTTTGATGTTGTGAGTGTTGTTTCATAATTTCTCCCCTTATTTTTTGTAGAATACTTAATTACACGCCTGACATGCAAATGAAGGAAGTACGACAAGCGATAAGCGAGGGATTCCAAGTGTGGAGTGATGTCACTGACCTCACGTTCACGGAGCGTCCGAGTGGAGTGGCGGATATCATGATCAAATTCGCCAACGGTTATCATAAAGATGGCTACCCTTTTGACGGGAAAGGTAAATAAATACATTGCAGTCGTGAATTCATCATTATAGTTTCATCTCAGTATAAATTGTTAACATTACATCGATATGGCAAATGGGCCAGACTGTTAAAAAAGACATGCCATACCGGTATGGAGAGTTAGGAACTTTTGTCTTAAAAAGATATATACGTCGAGAGAGCTTTGCCTACTGATTAAAACCTCTTACTTGCTTATGATATATAAAGTAGACTATACAACCATATCACCGCTTTAATGTTTACCATGAAATGGGTTTCAGGCAAAAGTTGCTGATATCTCTTAACATCTGTTTTGTTGCTACTCGCTGTAGTACAGTTGATTATCGCCGAAGGAAGGATTCACATATATTTTGTGCACGACTTTCCGGCATTCATACACTGACAAATGACTCGGGGTCACGACCTCTCCTCTACGCCCCCTCCCACTGTCTGTTGGATGTGCATGACAAGACATCATGCATTACCACGGCAATATGATAGACTCTAAAAGTACAAATGATATTGAAGATAGAAAGGAGACGATGTAGCACAGATAGTGTAATGGCTACCAAAGCACAGGAAACCAACCACTACACAAAATATACCGTTGTTTTCAAACTTCATTAACTTTCATCTTTTGTTGCGTCTGGTTCTGAAAATATTTGGTTCAAACTCGAAAAGTAATCCAGATTTGAAAAGTATCTGTTAAAAGTATTTCTTTTGATGTTTACTTTAAATACGTTAAAGAAAGTGTCGGTCTCGGACGTGCAAACTGAAACAGACATGCAGAGGAAATAGTACTATTAACTTTTTATTGGGAATTAACATGACAGTGTCTTGGATTTGTGCCAAAGAGGCGTCCAATGTAGCTGTAAGGGGGAAGCTGGGAGGATGAGGGTTGATGCACTACCAACAGATCAGCTGTTGATGGAAATGCGGCAGCCCGAGATCTCCCAAAGCCTTTACCTGTTACCTACATATATTTTCGCCATATGGGAGAACACTCGCGTGAATTTTTCATTGCCAAATGCCCTCAACATTATTACATTAATATAATCAGGTATTTCTTTTTCACTCCCTAATCCCCTTGGTAACCACATATGTTTCAGTTCTGCATCACGTGAAGAGATTTCAACGACATTCTTTAGAAATAAAATACAATAAAACTAAAAATTTTATGATGATCTTATGCGACACGTGTTACAGTGTCAACTGGAGACAACTGTTTTATTAGAGCCTAAGCGACATAAGGAGGCTACCTTGACCTCGCTGTACTACAAAGTCAGCAGCTGGCGTTTCGCCATCTTTGTGTTGGCTCGGTCGTGTCTTTCCAACAAGTTTTATCCTCTTTATCATACTCCTAACGATCACAAAGTTTATTATTTAAAATGGAAGACAAGAAATGCTATATACGTTGTACTCAATCTTAATGTTATCAATCAAATGAAAAAATGAAAGGAACATTATCGACGTAAATATTGGTAAACATGCAAGAATCACCTCGCTAGCGCTGTCATTACAATTTCGCTTCTTTACTTTAAACTGTTGCACTGAAAATAACCAGTAGGGATGTTCACCTAACAACGACATACTCATAATTAACACGATAATTATTTAGCTTACTACGGTTATATACTGTAACTCACTTTATTTTAGAGGATATATAATTTCGCGAATGGTAGGTGACTGTCTTATTCGGGAATATATGATTTCGCAGGTATCACACTACATAAAAAAATCATTTATTTACGATCAACATCATCATAATTATACTCGCGATGGATTTGAATTTGCGAATGTTGCTGCTCGCAATTAAACGCGAAATACAATCCCCTCACGAAAAGTATGTGATTTACATAATTTATTTGTAGTGCATCAAATTTGCTTCATTCTCATTTGGTAAATATAAATTACATCCTTTTTCATTACCGTAGTTTCATCGTCATTTGATAAAAGAATAACTGCCCTCTCTCTACAGGGTTGATCCTGGCTCATGCGTTCTATCCAGGAGCAGATAAAGGAGGCGACACACATTTTGATGATGACGAACACTGGACCTATAACTCTCAGGAAGAAGGTAAAATGGCGACAATACATACACGACATAATTTAAGATGGCTGGTTTTTTTTTCTAATTGATAGACGTCACTGGGAGAGGATTGTAGTAAGGGGCTGGGTTTGCGGTTTTTTTATAAGAAGGCTTTTGGGTGCGGCGCTGTGATACTGTGGTATAGAGATGATGGTTAGGATGGATTTATGAGGGTTGTTGGTGGGAGTGGGTTAGCGATATTGTAATTCATTGTGGACTAGGTTCAGTACTGGCGTTTCCGCTTATTTGGAGGGGTAGGGCTGTGTTAACGTGCCGACTTTTGGGGAGAAGTGTCTGAGTGAGATGTTGACTTATGTGATTTTGTGATGTTGTGTTGACGTGCTGTGAGGATGGGATGTGCTGACTAAAGTGAGGTGTTGTCATAATATGTTGACTTGTGTTCTAATCCATGTTAGATAACATCGATCACACATTTGATCTGACAGGATCTTTAAATTCTTATTGGATTAGATTTCCTATAACAGTCGAAAGCATACCCTCCATGAACGACACCTATCAAAACATACCCTCCATGAATGACACCTATCAAAACATACCCTCCATGAACGACACCTATCAAAACATACCCTCCATGAATGACACCTATCAAAACATACCCTCCATGAACGACACCTATCAAAACATACCCTCCATGAATGACACCTATCAAAACATACCCTCCATGAATGACACCTATCAAAGCATACCCTCCATGAACGACACCTATCAAAGCATACCCTCGACAAAAGACACCTATAAAAGCATACCCTCCACGAACGACACCTATCAAAGCATTCCCTCCATGAACGACACCTATCAAAGCATACCTCCACGAACGACACCTATCAAAGCATTCCCTCCACGAACGACACCTATCAAAGCATACCCTCGACAAAAGACACATATTAAAGCATACCCTCCACGAACGACACCTATCAAAGCATTCCCTCCATGAACGACACCTATCAAAGCATACCTCCACGAACGACACCTATCAAAGCATTCCCTCCACGAACGACACCTATCAAAGCATACCCTCGACAAAAGACACCTATTAAAGAATTCCCTCCACGAACGACACCTATCAAAGCATAACCTCCACGAACGATACCTATCAAAGCATTCCCTCCATGAACGACACCTATCAAAGCATACCCTCCATGAACGACACCTATCAACAAAGATGTTAAGGAAAGAACTAAAATAAAGCCTATTTCACTCCTTCAACTATTAGAACTTGGATGTAGCTGTCTTGTTATGCTTTGTATTCTATTTCATCAATAAAACATTTATTTTCATCTTCTTTAAAGAACTTGTTGTTACCACTAACACTTGTGCTTCCCTCGCCAGGAGTGGATTTATTTATGGTTGCCGCCCACGAATTCGGACACGCCCTTGGACTGGGGCACAGTAACGAGCCCGGGGCCCTCATGTATCCTTGGTACCAGGGCTATCAGGCAGACTTCCAGCTTCCGCCTGATGACGTCATTGGTATACAGACACTTTACGGTCAGTATAAGTACATTGTTCACGTGACAATCAAACTTATCCTAAAATAACACACAGCTTATAGATATGGAGTGACTATTTGATACAAAACCATCGATTTCAGTGGATAAGCAGTTTGTGGAAATGAGAACTGTTTGATTGGCGCTTTTGTTAAATAGATTTTATTTTATATAACAGGAGCCAGAACTCGTCTACCTCCCACCAAAGACCGACACCCAACCCCTCGTCCTCCGGAACGCGACATTCCACGAGTTCCCCGTCCTCGACCTCGCCCTCGCCCTCGACCTCCAACGCACGAGCCCTTGACGCCACGCCCTCCTCACAAGGGTGATGATATTGATCCTTGTACCACGCCATTCGACGCCATTGCTGTGCTCCGGGGAGAACTCTTCCTATTTATCGGCGAGGTGAGTAACTATCCAATCTAAATAAGGGTCTATATGTGTTACAAGGATTACTTTGGACAGAACTATAGAAATTTGTTTTATTTTTTTTAGTTATCAACATGTATACTAGTAGAATCACATCATACTCCTGATGACGTGATGTCAACAATAACATTATCTGTATATTACCTTTGCCCGTCACTTTTGAACGTAGAGATTATAAAGCCCCATTCACTACCGTGAGCTCTTGTTACAGTACTTCTGGCGACAGACGGATCAGGGATTGATTAGCCAAGAGAAGATAAGTCTACATTCCTTCTGGATGGGTCTTCCTCACGAAGTCGACCATATAGATGCAGTGTTTGAGCGAATCAACGATCAGAAAATCATCTTCTTTATTGGTGAGTGTTCCATAGCAATGGATATCGTGTGGTCATTTTCAATGCTATAATGAAAAACAGACTAAATGCTGATTATCTTTCATTTAAGTAATATCTGGCCTTGAAAGTAACTGGAGCTAAATTTTTGTCAGAAGCCAGTTTGTATAATGCGAAATAAAATGCCAGGCCTATCCGTTGAGTAATGGAATGAATTTTGCTTACCATGTTGTCTGTTTTCCATCCCAGGTGACCGCTACTGGGTTTACAACAGCAACTCACCCGTGTCGCGATTCCCACCGGAAGGACGCCCAATCACGGAGTTCGGAATTCCTTCTGACGTCAAGAAGATCGATGCAGCCTTTGTATGGAGCTACAATTCCAGAACCTACCTGATCAGTGGCGATATGTACTGGAAACTCAACCTCGAGAACAACCACATTGAGATGGACTACCCCCGCGATATGAGTATATGGCGGGACGTCCCAGTCCCAGTTAGCACGGCATTCCAATACCAAGCAGGTACTAGATCTCTCCAGAACTCTCTTCCTCCTCCTCCTCCTCCTCCTCCTCCTCCTCCTTCTTCTTCTTCTTCTTCTTCTTTCTTTTTTTTTCGTTCAAAAAAAGTAGGTGTCGTGTATTAATGAAAAAGATATAACATAACATACAATTATTTTCATTTATTTTTATTCTGTTATTGTTATGTAAAAGTTTATTCTCTGCCAGAGTACATGATATTAAATGAAAACATGTGTCTTTTTCTCGTAGGTCCTAAAGACAAAGCGAAAACCTACTTCTTTAAGGACGACAAGTTTTACTTGTTCTATGACGATAAAATGCGCGTGAAGCATGGGTACCCGAAGGCAATACGTGACCACTGGTGGGGCTGCAAAACACGGGTGGCCGAAATCACCAGATATGGAAACGCGGAAGAGCACACCGGAAATACAGCCAACAGGGTCGCCACTGGACTATTTACCACTGTGATATGTGTATGTTTATCCTTCCTCGGGCGATAAACAAAAGCTTTAGTATTCATAAGATGATCAAATCTGAAAATATGAAAAAGTCGTCTGGCTTACATTAGATGTGAAGTGAAAATCCGGCACCCAACATGCAGGATTGTTTTGATACAAAGTATCAATTTGTGTTGGTATGCAAATATTTTTGTATTCTATAGAGCTGGATATGAACACAGGTTGTGTAAGCTTGCTTATGGCGACTGGGTTTTCCTGTCCCATACAGAAGATTTTGGTATAGAAGTATCCTCACATAACACCTTAAGTTAGCAATATTGGTGTCATTTATGTGTCAGAAGACAACACAGACACTGCCAGTTACAGATATGACATACTAAAACACGAATATAAGACATTTAATTATCGGTAGCTATAGAATTGAGTATGGAGAATGACTTGTAAGATAATATAAATGAAAAAAAAAAAAATCGGATCGAATTGTTAACTATGGCGTTGTTCGCAGACATCTTGGGTGGTCTAAATATTTACATGATTTAAAATCATTGTTATAACTAGAGGGGTTTATAGAACGCACTACTCTCACATCTCATAACTATACTAATCATTCATCCAAGTGTGGAGCATCCATGTACGCACGATACCCAGATAGTACAACAGGTGTCGCTGTCCATAAGGGACAGGAGGCTTTGTCCGGTGTTGACAAGTAACTTTGTAGGGTAATGACATGTGTCATAAGGTCCATTACAGACACGTGACATTACACAGTGTTGATATGTGACACCAGGTCCGTTATGGACAGGTGCCATTCAGTATCGTCCTTTGTCAGTAGATCCGTAATGGACAGGTGTCGTTGTACGACATTGACACGTGTCATTAGGTCCCTTATAGACCGGTACCAATGAACGGTATTGACATGTGTCTTTAGGTCCCTTATAGACTGGTACCAATGATCGATATTGACATGTGTCAGTAGGTTTGTTGTGGACGAGTGTGGTTCAGTATTGATATGTGTCATTAGGTCTGCTGTTGACAGGTGTCGTTCAGTTTCGACATGTGTCATTGGATCCGTTTTGGACAGTTGTCATTTTTGGATACAGCCATCTGTCCTTAGGTCCGTTATGGACAGTTATTCATATTCTGTCAAGGCAATTGTTGTCGTCAATAAAAACCCGGTAAAAGTGTCAGCTTTGGACACATGTCATTGTTTGATAGTGTCATTGTTCGGACTGGACTGGTGTCGAGGTTCTGTATAGAGATATTTAAGTAATGTATAAGATTCTTTTCGAAACAAAAATAACGGTTTCAACTTACATTTCGTAGACTCCTTTTATCCGAACAAGATGCACCATGTAAACATTAATGCTTGTGCTATAACAGTCGGACCAGGTGTTGTGATTACCCTGCACTATGCAATGTTGTCAATAAAAAACTTGATATCGTTAGTCTTAGCACCACTTCCCTTACGTAGTTCTAGGACTCGGATATAGTAGAGCGCACGCAGATTGCTTCTCCCGTGGCTATGTAACCTACAGTTAATACACGTACGCTCTGACGTCACTTACAAGTGTGCACGTGTTTATTCATTCCAGTCACCTCCAACAATCTGTAATGGTGACCTTTCACCTTTTCACATCGCGATCCTCGCAACCATCATTAAACCAGATTAGGTTCTGCGCATGACCACGAGTCTCCCTCCCTCCCTCACTACTGCCTTTGTAGCATAGTCTGTATCTATAGTCCCCGTCCCCCAGTCCCTGTCCCCTAGTCCCAGCCCTAATATATAACCCCATTCATGTATCGTTTATATTTGATACACGTCTTTACTTCCTCACAAAGTCTTGCCATTTTGTTGCAAAATGTAATAACCAGTGCCATTGTCATGATAATCATTATTTTCATAAACACAAACGGTTGTGATTTCAACATGATATGTTAGAATTACTAAGTCTGCATGTATTTTGTAAGAAAAAAATGTGTCACTCCTTTAGTTATAGTAGTGCCTCCTCGTAGCTAATCCATATATCGATTCGCTTATGAAAGTGATACGTCGTAAAAAATTAATGACTCATTCTATACCAATTTATCATTACAAAAATACATCACATGTTTTTTTCTCTTTTCAAACAATTTCCTTTGTTTTTAATTAATATTCTCAGCTGAAGACGACATTTTGTAGTGTAAGATTGACTTCATCGACAACGAGTAATTGCGGATTTAGAAAAAAATGATTAAACATAGCTGATTTGAGATTATTGATATAATTCCTACCCGGAGTTGTTGATAAGGAACATAACTCTTAATAAAGTACCGCCGATAGTGTTACTCAGTACCTTACTCGCCGATGTCAGCATTTTTACTCAATACATGTCATATTTTGTTTGCATTTTATTTATTGATAATGTTAATTTCGTTTGGTGCCAATTAGCTTTTCATTGAGTGTTTGAGAATTGTTTGTTTGAATGTTTAAGCTGAGCGTTGTTGTTGTTGCTGTATGCTGAGAAACAAATAAAAGACAATTCTGGTCTATGTTATTTGCAACTGTGATATGGTCGATGAATGTGAGTTTATGTATGAGGTCGAAAGCTTCCGAACGCTTATTACACTAACAATGGAGAATGAACATCCAATTAAAAAAAAGAAACACTTCCGATAATGTAACGGAAGTGAGCTCAGTATCACATTCAGGTCACGTGACAGTTCGTCATAAGTAGCCTGTTGTTCACATCAAAGTGGAATTATGAAGGGGATGAACTTCGTCCTTCAAAACACATATGAAAGTGTGCCTACATTCAACCCAGATACCGGACAACCATGTCAAATGTCATAAAGAGGTCCTGCCTTTCAGCTTTTAAAAAAATGGACAACAAAACTTCTAAAAGATGTAAAATAATCGATTGTCCGAGACATTGTCTCAATATCGATATATGAATTGAATATCTGAAATATTTTCGCTACAATGGTATTTTAACGAGAAAATAAGGATAACACATGAGCTGCCACGTGTGTTGTATGTCGAATGTATGTGTGAGTGACGTTTGTTTGCGACCACTGCGCGAGAGACTGATGTACATACTTACACGAGAATAGCCTTCACCAGTGTAAAACCGTGTAATTCAGTGTAATATTTCTGTGGTACATAGTGCAATAATATTTAGATGTTCATACTCTTTGATCAGGCTAAAATTATTCCCAAAATTTTCTGTAAATATCTGGTTTTTTTTTTCGTCCATTTGATAGTCGTTTTTGTAACATTGCTATATTTTGAAAAGAATTCTCAAAATTATAATATATTTCAATTTCTGGTTACGTTTGAAAATTAAAACTATTTTAGAAAAACAGTAGTCACCATTTGATCGACAAAAAAATCTTGTCAAATAGTTCAATGTTTTGCCATTGAGTATTAAGTTGTTATTGTATATTTCTTAAATCCACTAGTTTATTTCAATATTATAATCAGTTTCTAAGGGGACAGCCTTTGATGTATACTCTGATCATTTGCATATTTTGACATTTTGCATATTTTTGTCATTTGATAATTTATAATCTGATGATAAATATGTTTTGTTTTGCATATACATTTGCTTATTATATATATTACGTCTTTAAAATCCATTTTAATACTCAGAAGACTTGATTCAATACTCTATCAAACTATTATTAAACAAAAATTGATAAATAAATAAAAAAAATAAATAGATAAACAGGTAAAAAATAAATAAATACAAATTGAAAGTTCAACCGGTGATTTTATAAAATAAAGTTAAAAAAAAGAACATTAGTTGTATTAAAAATATCAGTTTGATATTACAAACGTATATCAAAGATATAAAATTAGACCCATTACTTAATCTATTTTAATCATTTTGAAGCATATAGATTTAGTAATCACGAACGTGTAGTTATCATTAGGATGCGTGTGGAAATGTTTTCAAGCTGGCCTTCATTAGGATGCGTGTGGAAATGTTTTCAAGCTGGCCTTGGTTTATATGTAATACTAGATGCTTTCACGTTGGTAAGAGTATAGTTGTTTCAAAATTCTTTCATTAATCGCTAACTATAATAGATTGGAACACGAAGTTATTAAGACACATGAACAGAGAAGAACGTTTTTTTTTAGATTTAAGACTCTTGGTGGTCACAGGTTGACATTTCTTGAATAGAAAAAAATATGTATGTATTACACATTGAAGGAAAATAAATATCATTTTTAGACATTTTCTTCGGGGTTGCGGTAATGTCAACAGAAATACGTCCTTATAACACAGACACTAGAAGATTTGAGTGTGACGTTCCTATCACTATAAGTCATCTTTATCAAACAACTGACCAGTATGAAGCGCTGACATAACATCACTTCTAACCCATAATATTTTAAACATTATTTAACATTATTTTTGATTACATTAAGGAAAAAATAGAAAGAAGCGAAATCTATTTCATAAAGTCTTTGTGGAAATGTCTTTCAATATTATACATTTATCATTCTATTGCCGTCAATTAACAGTTAATTACGTTCATGGTTGAGAGTGTAACCATACAACAAGGAAATTCGACTATTTGTAATTTTAAATTACATTTTAATTTGACTTCATCGAAAACACATTTTTGGAATTCTATATTTTTATTACGAGAAATTAAAAGGAATATACAAATACAATGTATAGAATTATGATCTGTTTCCTATGAGATTCTGTTTACAAACAAAACAATGTCTTATAAATGTACATTGATACTATAAAGAGAATGATGTGTTCTATATTTTTCTTTCACATAATTGTATTTATTTACTGTTTTTGTCACTTCAAAGCTAAATAAAAATAATTTGATAAAAACTGGTGTTTTTTTTTGTGTTGTTAATTATGTGTAAAATTTGTTAGTTTACAAAAAAAAAAAAAAAAATACACTAGGGTTGATATTATCTTATCTTTGTTCGCGATGTCACTTTAAGAATCAGAGAAAATTGGCCTTTATAGGCAGGTAGTCGTTATATGGAGATGTAATAACCTTATATCTCATCCACATATAGTTCTATAGACAGGTATTTTAATAGAGGTGGCCGTTAAGACAGGCTCAGTCCTCATACAAGTATTGCTGTTAAACTGAATAAGAGAAACGTGGCCTTTATAGGCAGGTAGTCGTTATATGGAGATGTAATTTCTTTTTATCACATCCACATGTGGTCCTATAAACAGGTATTTTAATGGAGGTGGTGTTTAAGGCATGCTCAGTCCTCATACAAGTATGGCTGTTTAACTGAATTTAATATCAAAATATTTTGAATAAAGTTCGATACCTATGCATTTCTTATACCAAATATCTCTTCTAGTTTGTTAACTCCTGGGAAAATTATTCAAACAGCTTTTTATCCAAAGCACTGAAACACGAAACAAACCATTTTGTATCTACAGAAGCTGATGTCGATCGATTGGACAACGATCTTTGATACCCGTTAGGTCATCAACCTTTACGGTTAGTGCTGGATTAGAACAAATGTCCTCTGAGTTATCCCCGGGTTAAGTTCACGGAATTATCGTCAAATCGCAACGGAAGTTCAATGACCGAGTTTCACGCATTGTCGACAAGGAAATGAAACAATGAGTTTTGTTGGCTGGTGGAGGAGTGGGGATCATTGTCGACAAGGAAATGATACAATGAGTTTGATTGGCTGGTGGAGGAGTGGGATCATTGTCGACAAGGAAATGATACAATGAGTTTGATTGGCTGGTGGCGGAGTGGGGATAGACAACAGTCTAATATGATACTTGACCTACTTTTAATGCAAAACACAATTCATGATGCAATGTAAATGGCTTGTGTATCTACTTAATGAAAACAAACTATAATTAGCACGGGATGCAATGAACAGAAGAAAATGCACAGGAAGAACACGTGCACGGTATCTGCGAATGATTTACACTATTGTCTCGCACCTGTTACGGAAACAGGAGGCAGTTCCTCTATATATAAACAGAACATTTCAGGGAGAGAAATGTTCTCTTGCCAGCTGTCTGAAGCATTCAACTATAATGATAAAATTCACCATAATGTTCTATTAATATTTCTTCTCATTCATTTCTAAATCATACAACTCGAATGGGTAATGAAACGATATTTTACTTCTCTATCGAATGGAGCCGGTTGAATATGAAACGTTTTAATAATAGAAATATGAAGTATTCTTGATATGAGTGTTCCGTGGTATTTCCATTGTTCTCTAATAACAATGTAAAATATTACTATTAATATGACGTTGGTGCCAATGCCAATTTAAATCTTCCTTTCCGTGATGATCTCGTGGTTTTCGAGGCGGGATGAGAAGCGCCAAAGTGACACAGACTTGTCAGTTCTACATGTGTTCACAGTCATATGAAAGACTCTTCCTTGGTTAACTTAATATGTAACATGTATTGATAAAAGAGTTAAACAAACTCGATGGTAAAGCCATGCTCAAGATGTACAACCCTTGACTAAATGTTCAGGAGTTTTGTTTCAACGTGTTTGTTGCCGAGTTTCATCCCTAACATCAGACGTAAAACGCCGTTGCCAATATCACAATGACATCTCTAACCTGTTAAAACCACATGTCCAAGTGGCCTGTAACGGAATCACTAAACCGCCATTGGACAGTCATCCGGTAACCATTTATACTGGATCGATCCGAGACAGCATACAATTAGATTTGGTTGATTACAGGCCTTGTTTTGTCGACCAAGTATATTGCAGATAAGTACCGATGAGATCGATGCTATGTGTTAACAGTGTCTCTTTGTTCTTGTGCACTTGCTAAAGGCAAATGTGACGTTATTACACAGCACGTCGTTTTATCGTACATTTTGGTCTGTTTGTCGTCTATGACTGTTCCGACATTTGGTGAAAATGTTCAAATCCTCCTTCGTATGTGTCGGAGTTGGTCATGCGTTTGTCATTCTGTTCGTCTACCCTAAAATAATTTTTGTTACTGCTGTTTCCTAAGAAGTACTGGACAGGCTATTATCAAATCTTTTATAATATAGATTCCTCTTGATACAAAATAAAATGGCTGACGGGTGGCTTGATCTTAACAACTATAGTTTGTTACAGCGATTTCCAAACCTTTATTTGTTTGTTCCCTGTTCATGTCCATACCATTATTTTTGCAAGAAAAAGCAAAAAATTACCTGTAGGTAGCAATCTTTGATTTTGACAGATTTATAAATTATTGCATTCTCAAATTTAAGAATGTATAGAATTACCTAGTCTGATGTGAGGTACCTATTTTGGGACTTGAAAACAAAATGGCCGACAGGTAGCCATCTTTGATTTTCCAGTACAGATATTGTTTGTTATCACTGTTTCTCAGGAAGAACTTGCTGGGTTTATCCCAGTCAATTTTGACAACAGGTAGGAGTCGTCTTGGTCATAATATGCCCATTTACCATATCATTTACTGAATCGAAAAAATGGCGGACCTGTTTATCGATGTTACAAATAAAAATTCCCAGGTCAACACAACAAACACAATAAATTCAACTGAGAAAGAGAATAAAAGGAG